TACCTAATCACCTTAGCACGTATTTAACCGCCAAAGCAGAATTATGACATGCGTTAGCCATGTACACATGTACTGTGGTATAGCTCGTATGTGTAGGGCTACGGTACGGCAAGCTGCAGGACCGCTGCAGGGCGACCTCATCTGCAGCCGGCCCAAGCCGGAAGGGACGCACGCGCTGGTCACACGACGGGCCGAACGCATTGGTTCTCCCTTGGGACGGCCTCTGGCATCGATTCCGGGCACGAACGGGGCAGATCTTGCAGCGACTTATGCGGAGAATGCACCCGCCAGGCCCAGTCGCTGCTCGACACATGGTGGTGGGCGACCGCGAGAACTGCCCCAATGCGTGTAAGCGGCATCGTCGCCGGTCGCGATTCGTCCGAACGAACGGTTGATTGACCACACAAATCGTGGCAGTCGGATGTCAAAAAACGCACACTCGAAGCAAGCAAAAAATAGGTAAAAATCGCATGATGTTCATTTCTCCCAATTGTCCTTTCGGAGGTAATAAGCGATATCCGCCTGTTTGCGCTGACAATCGCTCCTTTCTCTGCCTGGGCAAACTGCTGCAGCAAGCTTTGACCATGACCCTACATCTCAATCCCAGCCGTCCGTTTCCATACTACTACGAATGGCACATCTCGATGCGATACGAAAAAAGACCTCAACAAAAAGCTCTGGATTGGAGACAGGCGCGTTCTTGATCCTAGCCAGGACCCTTGTTCCCCCTTGATTATCGTTGCTTTTTCCGGGCAGCGGTTTGGCTTCCCCGCCCTAGCGGGATCGAGCATACTAGTTTGGTCGTGTGTCACTGTCACTGTTCTGTTGGCGATCAGATCGGGCAAGAAGCGTCTTGGTTCGAGACCGTGTCCAATCTCGCCAAATTCGCTGTGGCGCTGGCAAACCCCGAATTACACGTAAAGCACACCGGGCGCAAATCTTCATCTGCACAATTCTGTGGACCGCGATTCTAGACTCTCTGCCCACTTCCTCCGCCGAAACGCTCCAAATCACCAACGTCACACACACCAATTGTCCCCCCCTTATCCTGGAGCACCAACACAGAAAACCACCGGCGCCGGGTACATGAACCCGCAGCACCCCCCACAACCACGTCTTACAATTACATATCTGTCTGCGTATCCTGTCTCTGGAAGGAGCCGGCCCGTTCCCCAAAATCATTTATCATCGTCGACATCGCCTTCTTTACACGCAGCCACTGGGCTGCCTTTTGGTGTAGAAACGATTGTCTGATTGGTCGGGTTCCATCTCAACATGGACTCGTCTGATGGTGAATCGATGGAAAGCCTGCTGCATGCTGCGGCTGCTGCCACTGCCGGCACTGCGGGAATTGCGTTTCCCGCTGGTAACGACGACTTTCGTGCGGCGCGGAATCGGTGCGCTCAGGCCTGCCGCCGATTCAACAACACCCCTGAAGATGCGGCGCCCGAGTTGCGGAGCAGCCGGTGGCTCGAGTACGTGGACACCTGATACTGGCATTGCACTGCGGAAAGCGAATTCCCCCGTCCGACCGGCTGACTTGGCAAAATAGTATAGTACGGCCGGCACGGGAAAGGACTGAGGACGCGGTCAATGGTACTGTGGTAACGCACGATATGACATTCCGCAACCCGGCGCTGACGGCGCAGACGCCCTTTGTCAAGCCACCCTTTTATGTCGACTACGGCCTGCGCCTGCGCGTCGCCGGTTCGACGTTCATCAACCGGGGCTGTATGATTATGGATACGCCCGTGGCCGACGTCGTCATCGGCGATCACTGCAACGTCGGTCCCAACTGCTGCATCGTGTCGGTCAGTCACGCGCTGCAGCCTGATGAGCGGTGTTCGAAGCGGGACAGTATCGGAAAAAGCGTCAGGGTTGGCGACCATGTCTGGATTGGCGCGAACGTAACGATTCTGTAAGTTCCGTCCTCTCCTGCACTCTCCCACAAAGTCATAGATTTTGGATCAGGTATGTTAAACAGTGGCTGATAATCTTAGGGGCGGAATCACCATAGGAGACGGAGCAGTCATCGGTGCAGGGAGCGTTATCACAAAATCCATCCCCCCCTTATCAATGGCACTTGGCGTGCCGGCCCGAGTCGTCCAGTCGCTTGCCGACCTCGGCCCGCCCGAAGTGTTCGGGTCCGTCCAGACGCTGACCGAGGCTATGGCACACGGCCGTCGCCTGGAGCAGAGGGAGAAGCTCGAGCTGGTTCGGCTATCTCATAGTCTTCGGAGACAAAACAGCCATAGCAGTGTTAGTAGTAGTAGCCACGCAAGCCACGCAGAGTCGCAACCATATCAGCGGCATTCACATCAACACCCGCAGCAACAACAGCCACAACTTGAACATCATCATCAGCAGCAGCAGCAGCAATCACAACACAGACAGCAACCGCGGCCAGAAACACCGCCACAACGACAACCACGACAACCACCCGGAAACACGGCGAAACTGTCGAGGTCAGATATACTAGCCATTGTCTCCGTCACCGCCGTCACCTTCACTCTCCTTACAAGTCTCTTCTTTGCCGGCGCTCTAGCGGGCGCTAAGCGGTTTGCCATCATTCTGGAGCCTGCAGATCGGAACTGGTCTGTAACGTAACTTTGCGGTCTGCGGCCATCTACACATGTGTTTTACTCAGTTCTATACCCCTTTGTTTAGTTCGGTTGCTTAGCCTTAAATAATATGAATAACTTGCCTCAATGCCTTGCTCGCTGAAGTGACAAGTGTGACCTGCAAAACACGTGAATACCTGACCTAGGCAGGCTCCCTTGTAAAATCTCATGGCGCAGCTAAGCTGAGGCATATTACCTTGCCGCAAAAAAACAGGCCTTGCTAAAGATAAGGAAGGCAGCGGTTCGTTAATGATAATGTATTTGATAAGACATCTCATAGACGTGTCGTGAAAAATAAGTACGTTAGGTGAGATAGGGAAAAGCTAAACTGCATACGTACACTTGTCCATGATACGCAGTATGCTGAGACCTATTTTCGACAAGATGTTTTTTATTTATGCAATCATGGTTATAGATAGCCGCCTGTCTAAGCTCCAATTCCAATATGGCCTGGCCTATCTTCTAAAGCTCAGTATGCCTTAGTTTGGCTGCTTTATGGTGAGTCCCGGGAAAGGAGCACCCCCTTTTCTTTTCTTTTCGTTGCTTATCGTTATCGGCCAAAGGGCCTCCCATCCAGTTTGAGAGAATTCAGCGGCCTTATTTTCTAGGTACATGGGACTTGGGACTTGGGACTTGAGATCCGTGATATGTGATATGTGATCTTTTTCATTGAACCATTCTGTTGCCTTACGTTTGACGTTTAATCAGACGTAGAGCATCCTCTTTTCACGATCCGGTTCTGTATTCATGTTTAAAAACCATCTTCAAGTGTTGTGTGTGGTCAGTCTCTGGAGTTCGGCATTTTTTGTCCCCGACTTCACTGAGTAAAAAGGAATCAAACTGTGAGCTGTTCAGGCTTAGCTGTCTGCTTTGACTTGATTGTATTTGTAGTCAAGGTTTAGCTTACACTATTACTGACTAAGACCATGTGTATTCCCGGAATTACAAGATGCTAGGAAGGTCATCGATCGTAACTCAACCCATCCATATCCAGACCATCGTCACCATCCGGTATTAACAGAGGTAGGCACCGGCAACTTCCTTCTCAGGCGCCTGCACAACTCTACGTAATCCACATTATTCTCTTCAGTGATGACGCCGTGCCGGATAAAAAAGTCAATCATGACGAGCGCGCAGTTGGGCTTGAACTCCCCTTTAACCAAGGCCTCCATGACCTGGACCAGATCCCAGAGGTAAAACTCCTTGACCTCGTCGTCCCGCGGTCTGGGTATGACACTCTCATCGACTTCGAGGTCGTAGACGTACAGGCAGTCCGGGGCCATCAGCTTGCCATCTTCAGTTTCCTGAGCCGCCACATACGTAATCGCGCCGCACGCACGCGCCCGCGACCTCACGAGATCTTCCGGAAGGGAGGCCTCTTCGTCCGCCTCATGGACGATGCATTCGAATGGCGACTCATCGGCCTTCACCCCGCCGGCGACAGTGGTGTCGAGCATGTTGGGATACGTGTACAGGTGTGCACTTCGCCTCGGCACCCAGATCTTCATCCCCCCTTCTCCAGCAGAGCAGCGAACAAACACCGTCATGTGAGCCCCGCGCGTGGCGATCCCGAACAAGGGGGCGGCTGTCCGGTTTATCTTGATGGGAACGCTGGGGACGTCCATCGGCGTACCGCCCATGATCCTCATGTCTTCGTTGAGTGGGTGCCTGATGAGCTGGAATGTCTGAGCTTCGATCGCGGCCTGAACGAGGCGCTGCAGCGCGTCGTTGATAGTCTTGGAATACATAGTTTGCTCGATATAATCACCCAATAACCTCACACGCCGCGGCCGATAGTCGGGCTTGCTGACCTCCCATTCGGACGTCCAAGGCATCTTGGCGACGACCGACGGCAGCATGAAGCCATGTGGCCGAGGATCACCGGGCAGGAGAAACTGGTAGTACGCCGACGCTGCGTCCTCAGACCATGGGGTGCGGCCGATATCGGTTTGAGGGAAGCTGTTCACATCCGTTCAGTGCTCTGAGCGAACCCCGCCTAGGAAGAGGGTTGGGTGCGGTACTTATCGCACGCGTCTATGAGCTGCAAAAAGTCTGGGCGAGCCATTGACGCGACTTTCTTGATCGTGCTAATGAGTTTGGAGGCAACTTGAAGACGCAGAGAATGAGAACGTTGGGCAGAATTGAGGGCGAAGAGTGTTATCCTGGCGCAAACGAAAACCTTCCTGCCTTAAACTATTGGGTGGGTTCAGAACTTCAGATGAATGGATGGGATGAGTCAGCCTCAAGCAAATGTGCGCAATTGCTAATCTGTTGAAGTGACGACAAGCCTTCATCCAACGCAGAAAGAAATGAAAGCTTTATCTCGGCTGGCTGGGGAAGAAAAGAAGGTCAAAAAGATTCCGAGCAGACCAGCCAAACGGGCTCAATCGGGGATCGAACCCGAGACCTCGCACATCTTCTTCTCTGAGTGCTCAGAGGGGAGTTCAATCCCGAAGCGCGAATCATACCACTAGACCATTGAGCCGGTTGATTGATCTGGCTAACAAAAATGTCATCCATACCGGGAAGTGCAATGCTTAGATGTGGCCTTTCCTCTCAACCACCAACGTCACACAAGGTGGATAGGCACGCATGTTTTCGATGCTATTGACAGAATGCCTTGTACGACATGTTTTCAGTCCGATGGCAATACGTCACTTTTGCCCGTCATGTGGACTGCCAAGAGACGCTTCCCTTTCTTCTTCACCTCATGTAAATGAGCACCTTCTATTGTCTTCTCCTGCTATTGTGTTCACCTCCTATTGTCAGTTCACACCTATTCTGAGCGCACAGGTCTTGCCCACCGAATATCTTCTCAGGCTGGTCACTGCCTTTTCCTCCTGCACACAACACAACACATCATATCATATCAGATACCAACTACACACCTTCAGAGCTTTCAGTTCCTCAACTACTGCCATCTATCTAAATCGTGTTCACATAAGGTAGCTATGGATAATGCCGCTGAGTACCCTGACTTCGATTGCAAGGAGCCAGGCGACCCAGCTGTGTATTACACTCGTCGGAGTTTGTGTACCTTTGTTCACTTTACCAAGAAGCTTAGCTGATGTTGAGGAAGTAACCCAAGAACCAAATGGATACCCCAGGCTAGCACGCTTTGTGGAATCTGGAGAGGACTGTTACATTTTCAGAGAATTCCGCTATCTGCAATGCCGAACACTCTTACACCTGCAAGATGAGCTACGTGCGCTGACAATGGGATGCCCGGGGCAGGAGAGCTTCTGTCTCTGTCGAATACCCTGGCGAACCTTGACAGGCCATCCCATTCTGAGCTGGTCAGCTGAATAGCTTGGAGAACTTCTTCGCCGACCAGGCTCCGCTCATACAACACGAAGTATTTACTGGTGCTAAGCTGGACATAACCCGCATGATTGGGCTGCAGCTGTCTTGTACCTTTCTCTTCGGAGTGGTCCTGAGCGTGTGCACACGAGCAAGCAAGCATGAGATCTTTACTACCTGCGCCATGTACGTCCCCTTCCTACTTCCCACTCCTTCGTGAGCGCAGTGCGTGCTAAAACCAGCTGCAGATACACGGTCGGCCTTATCCTTGTCATGACCCGGGGCAGTGGTGGAGGTAAGTACCTCTCGCCATAGAGATCTACCTCCATACTGAGGAGCTACGCGGGGAGTCCGCTTGTTATGGCGTGAATGATATGAAAGCATGTCTCTGGCGCAGCTAGATGCCTCTAGCTTGAAGGAGGAAGGTACAAGGATCTAATACCCGATGGAGGATAAAGGGGTACGTTTCGTGGACAGTACCATTAAGGTCGGATACAGTTCATGTCAAGTCATCAGCTTCCTAGCTACATCCTTTCGCTAGTTAGTACAATCACGACCACAAGTCTTCTAAGCTTCCGCCGATGTCTCTTCAACATGGGGTCTCGACGGGATGTTGTCAACACTCCCAGACACCGCACCAAGGAGGGACTCTCAGTCGCCCCGGGTCGAGGAACTTGTGGCAGCGGGCAACCACTATGCACTTGGTTCCTCAGCAAGACAGAGGTTCAGGACGCCTACCAGCATTTGAATATTGAGAATGGAGAAATCTACAACGGATGATATTCTTTGTGGGCGTTCAGTCAGTGACTGAGCAGTTCTCGCATCAATTCTCGGGCCCACGAACCATGGCTTGGCCAGACCAGTTGGCCGTGGCGCACTTGCATGACAGTGGCTGGGCGACCGACCAACGAGAGAGGCCTTCCCCCATGGCGATGGCGTTGAGGCCTGTCAGGCCAATTTCCAAGGTCCCGAACCCGAAAGCTGTGTTGGACAGCGAGCAGGAGTTGAAGGGCATTGACATTCAGACCATTCTTCTCGAATTGACAGGAAATACCCTTTCTATTTTAAGAAGTTAAACTGACAATTCCTGAATCGAACGGTCTTAACGCGCCATTTATTGAAGCAGTTCCCAAACGTCGAAACCGGGCGGGGACACGTGGGGAACAAGGATGCGGAAAGGAGCGCGCATGGGCCATCGGGAAGGCTCGTCCGCCCAAAACGAACCAAGCCAACCTAAAAACCCGACGGCCGACGACTCGAGACACCCGACACTTCAGGCGGGGTTCACCACTACCAATTGGTAACGAAAGGTGAGCGATTGACGGCTCCAACGGCCGGTTTGCGAAACGGCGCAGCACTTCTCTGCACGGTTGCTTTGCGTTTTTCCTGTAGATACTGCCGCACGCGTGCAAATGAGCACTTGCCCGGCAGCACCCCGGAGGCGTAGTTGGGTGGCGTCTAACTGCAGCGAATCTTCATTACCACTCAGACATGACAGAACGCGCGGTTTGAAACACTGCGATCGGACAACTTCCTCCATCAAACGTGTTGGCCTCCCCGCTGACGGCGTTTCTGCATGCAGAGAAGAAGACTGGAGTGCTTCGATTCCATCAATCAGCCCGCATCGCATCCTTCTTCGGTCTTTCCAAGTTCTCTTCCCCTGCGTCACTAGCCATCATCGCTAGACCAGACTGGCTTCGGTGACCCATTCGCGATGTGACTCTAGCAGTAACACGAACCCCTCTCTGGCTTGGCTCAGAGTCAAAACGCTCGCTTGATCCAAGTCTCCAGCTGGCATGAAAGCTCTGTCCACACGCTTATTAACAATCGTCAGGGGAGTCGCCCCGGTCGGGTAAGGTCTTGACGAGCCCGGACCGCCCTAACAGCATAAGCGGGGCCGCTAGCTATGCACGACCTTGCATTAATCCTGGCATTTCTTCATTGATGTGGGGACTGGGAAACACTGGCGAGCGAGCACCTGCCGGACTGGACGAGTGGCCCACTGACCTCACCTGCCGGACTTCCATGAAATCCTCAACACTGAGACAGCGGTTTCCCTCGCACATTTCTCTTCTCTTTCCTCCTTCTCCCGCTTCCCAACCTTCTCCAGGAACACCCCACGATATCGCAGCACAGCGTGCGGATACGTCAATAGCTAATTCGGGGCTGTCGGCTGCCATTCATTCATTTTCCTTCCATTCGTTCTGCGCTTGCGATATCGGGGCAATACTGAGTCGGCTTTTCCTGAGGACTGTACTCGAGACGAGAAAATCGCGCCACCAACAATATCCAATTGAGCCAGATTCCAATGCGACATTTCCATCTTGGACCAATTGACCAACGATAAGCCTTTGTGCTATCTGATCGTCGCGAGAACGAGATTAAGAACATCCCATCCGACCATTGTCCTTAGCAACCGCGACTGCCACCACTCACCGAGCAAGTTTCGTGTACTTCAGCTCCTCTTCACGCATCAGCCACACCCCGCGTTACCAGTGTTACGCGAGGCCACTTCCATACCACTCGAATCACACTCGTTACGGAACGAAACACCCAACCACTCCTTCACAATGGGTCTCATCGATCGCATCCAGGCAAAGATCGAGCTCTTCCGGCTCGAGCAACGATATACCCGCCGCCGTCATCGTCGCTCGACTTTCGTGTCTAACGCCATCTACGTCGACGGCGAGTACATCTACAACACTCCCAACACCACAGGCTCGTCCGCGAACACGAGCAGCACACACACCAACTCCCCCACATCCCCCACCACAGAAACCCGAACGGCGTCACCAGCACCGCCGCCAGTTGATCCTGTCAAGGCTCAGAAGCGCCTCAACCGGTGGTCATCCATGCCTGGCTTCGGTTCCATGTCCAAGGCGTCAAGCGCACAGCAACAGTCGAACCAGGACTGGAGGACAAACCGCGTCAGCGTCAGCGAGGTGCGGTAGGCGAACACCTGCTCTCGGGGACGCTATCAGAGGTTGTGAAGCGGAAGGCAGCAGCGACGCCAGGTGGATAGGCGGCACGACACACGATACATACGTGCGACGACGACCTTTAAACAAAAATGCATGCTCGGACTTGAGTTGTTGGCGCTTGTGGCGTTTTTGTGCTCGTTCGTCCAGACCGTACATATTTCTTTACCCCTACATACTCTCTCTCTCTCTCTCTCGCCTGACGACAACGAAGGATTACCATATGTGTGATATTCGGCAAGGGCATTAAAAAGCGCTTTTCATGACGACTGCTGCATCACTGTTCACTCGATGGACAGTGTCTTTTCTTTAGATTCTTCTCTAGTGGGGGCAGACTGGCAACGTGTATGCCATGAGGGGTGTTGTGTGTTTTTGGGGCTTCTGAGGAGGACATCGCATGGTTCGAACCAGGGAGCACGCCTGCCGACCATCTTTTGCCTCTGTCTGTATTTTGGCATTGTAATTACATGAGGGGGTTTTGCTTCTGGGCGCATGAAACAGGCTTACAAGAGAAGGATAGATCCTGTTGAAGTTTGGTGCCTACCTGTAGGCTGGGTTACGTGTTATATATATGGACTATATGAACATGGTTTCCGATCATTCTGCCATTGGGTGGACTGCGTGACATGTGATCTTTGTTGACGGGCTTTATACGAGTGATCACTTCGTTGTGTTTCGTGGCGTCCACTTCCTTCACGGATCTTCATGTTCATTCTCGATCTCCCCAAGACAACCCCTGGCAGGACTTGACAGTCTGCCATCAAACAGCGCTCAACCACGGTTACTTAGCCACCTACAGAATTATTCACTTCCCCTACGTCATTACAAGACCGATTTTATCCCCCGGTTCCCACCGTGGAAGTGAGCGGTGTAAAGACCCGTTCTCAGCCTCCCTAAAGATGGGTGCTTCCTGAGGAACTCGCTGTCTGGTTGAGATACTACCAGATGCCAGGGCCCGTCCGAGTCGCCGATTAAACGAGGTGATTAACACCAATGGGCCCCCGAAGATCACTCCCCGTCTCATTTTCTAATCGTCGAATTTCTCTTGGGGACTTGAGGAGGGCGTGTCCGTAAAGGTGCCCAGACCGGCAACTTAAGGGTTCTAATAGCAGTGGCTGCAGGAATGACTGCTAGCGGAACCGTCGATATCGGTTTCTTCTTTCCAGAGAACGAAGAGCACGAATTAAGAATTCGAATCTTCTCTCGA